GGGAATTCTGGGAGTTGAAGTCCATACATCTTAAAGTTGCTGAGGTTGAGAAACACTGATTGAAGAGAAGGATTTCCACTGCGAATGTTGTAGCTGGATCTATTTCTATTTACTTACTGTGTATTTTATGTCAACAAAGTCCTCCTCCTACCCCTGAAAATGCAAATTGCTTCCTGTAAGTATTTCTGCCCACTGATTCAGTAATGTTCCATCATAGTTAGATTGAGACAAGGGGATTCATGGTTAAGAGCATGAGTCAATCAGGAATGGAATTATTTCTGCTTTCCTCATTGGGGCTGTGGCTGCTCCCTTCCTGGTGACCTGCAGGACGGCCTTTTCTGGAAACTGCCTTGATGATGGTGCTGGCAGAACTTTCTTTGAAGTACTCTGTTGATTTTGTTTGTTTGTTTGCTTTAAGGAAAAATGGTATTTTGTTTATGAATATGACTTGTGGCTCTTTTTGTAAACTGAATGCTGCTTCTGTTTGTAGTTTCTGTATTTTATTGCCTTTTCATCTATATGAAGTTAGGAAATAGCATGCTATCAATACTCAGTTGTACTTGTTCTTGCTAGTAACAACTCTCCAGGTTTAAACAGGAGTATTTTTTGTCATACATAGAGGAATCTGATAGTAAACCTGGAATCACTGGCGTATGTTCTAGCAGTATTTCTCAACCTTGTCAACTCTAAGATATATGGACTTCAACTCCCAGCATGTTGGCTGGGGAATTCTGAGGGTTTCAGTCCACACATCGTAAAGTTGATAAGGTTGAAAAACACTGTGCTGTACTACTAACCTTGGAAGCAACTGGTCTGACCCATCTTCTTTGTTTCTTTTAAGTGTTGCTATCAAATCTGTTATTTTCTATTCTTCCCCCTTTCTTTCAAAATGGCCATTAACTATCAAAATATACACAGTGGCACAGTTTTAATCATTATCCACCAGTCTAAAACTCAATGCCAGTTTGCTAGTTAAATTAGGTATTAGTCAAGCATTTAGCACAATTTAAAACTGCAATGTTAAATTTCATTCGTTGGCCTTTTTATTAGATAAGCTAGAAATGAAAGCAGCAGGGAATTTAATTGGCAGTATCTTTTTCTCTGGGCAAGTCATTACTTTGATGAACTTCAGAGCAATGTTTATGGCTCCTAATTAACCATGTTAGTCATTTGATTGAATAATCACTTTGGAAATGTTTCTAAAATTTGATTAGACTTTGACCCATTCTGATAGTCATAAATTAACCAATAGCACTTTTAGAATCATAAGGCTTTAGGTCCTTTGGAAAAAAAATCAAAACAGGACAGTTGTCTTAGCCTCCTGCTCCCCCCTCCCTTTTTTTCCCCTCAAACCTTAGTGTAGTATTTAATCATATGGTTATGTTAAATGCAAGGTGGGTGGATAGCAGGGGGACTGTTGCAATTAATATTAATATTAAAAATTGAGTAGTCCTGGAACCCTTCAGATACATCTGGACTATAGGTTCTATCATCAACAGTCAGATTGCCCAGAGGAGGGAGAATGGAGATGTACGGCACATTTAGATACATTTTTATAGCAAAGATATTGAGAAAGATGTGTAGATATGATAAGGAACTCTGCATATTATGAGTTCTCAGCCTCTTGTAAAGCCTACACACTATAGAAGTAGAGCTTGAACACATGGTCACCTCTGGGGACCAGCTTTTGGGAATGCCACTGAGCATGCAGAACGAATGATTTTGTTTCCATTCAAGAAATAAATGGAATTCAAGGCAGAAAGAGTGATTAGAGCTTCTGCGCATTCTTGATTCAATGATACATAGTGGAATTTATACCATAGTTTTTTGGTCCAAGTGTGATTACTCTGCCCCTTCCTGGTCATACTGTAAGACTTAACACCATTCTAGGGAAAATAGGGACTGCATACCAGGATATGGAATCAGGATCTGACTTGACAAATAGAGGTGGGGACGGCATTCCACTACTTTAACGCTTCTCTCCATTATCTTGCTTACATATTTTATAATGCAACTAATCTTGTATTATATGCAAAGCTACAAATTCTTGACTAATATGAGATCAAAGCTAGAGCAAACACCTCATGTTCTCCTGCTACTGTTGATATGAAGTCACCTGTTCCGTTCACCTAGTAGTATCTACTGTTAGTTTGAAGTTTGAGGTGGGAAATACAAAACCAAAGGCTATCACAATAGAGGTAAGTTTGCCTAAATGTTACAGGGACAGAAGAAAGAATGGTTGTTGTTAGTGGGAGTATTGAGGTTGCATCTATTCTGCCCCAGCACTGTTAGTATTTTTAACTGGCTAAAAAAAGTCCTTAAGTATCACAGGTCCAATGTGACAGGTACAGTTCATAGTAAAAAAAGAATAATAAAGATTTGTGGAATAAGGAAACGGATAGATGCCTTTACTGTTATCAGTGGCTACGCTTGCTTAGTGAATTCAGTGTAAAATCTCATTTTCTTTTCCCTCTAACTCCTTGATACTCATCACTAGTCAGTGAGCAGTGAAATTCTGGATTGCATTTTGGAAAGGGCTGCACGCCACACTGAGTAAATTACTTTTGGTCCTTTTGCTATTTGTTGTTGTTGCTGTTGTTGTCTAATTCTTCAGAGATAAGCTAAGAAAAAAATGTGGCAATATAGCATAGTATATTTTGCTTGCCAGAATGTTAAGATTCAAATTCTAGAGTAATGCGTGTGAATAGTTTGCTGTGGAAATGAAACTCAAGAATAAAATACATACCCTTGAGCAAAGCTGCAAGTACTGCACTGATGGTATATGCCATTTGCCTGTTAAAAGTGATACCAGCAGTTTGGAGAAATCTAGGGAGGCAAACTGCAATCTTGAGTAAACTGTTGGTTTACTTAAAAATAAACCTTATATTCCAGATTCCTTGGAACATGTGTGGACTAGCTGAAATTAAATGATAGGAAGGTACCTGGCTCTGGAGTGGAAATTCCCAATTCCTGCATTATATGTTAAATGGGGAACTATATCTAAATAAATATTAGAACTATGTCTAAATAAATAAATAATAAACATATGGAGATTGCATTGACTTTACTACAGCTTGCTTTCATATATTCTGGTGTGCAGCTACTGCTTGTATCGCCTCTGGTTTTTTACAAAGAATAAAATGGATTTAATGTTTAAATGGAATAACCAGCCTGAGATCTGATAGGAATATGCCTTCCAATTCAGATTACCCATTTCACATTTAAACTAACAAATAATAGCAATAAAAAGCTCCAAGAAACAAGAGGGTGTGGAAAAGCCTTGGCAAGGTAGACACAGCTTTTCCTTATCTCCACTTGCCTTAGAACATACAATGAAAGAAAAGTGCCTGGTGTTTGAACAAAAGTTCAAAACTCTGTTTATCAAGTCTTTACCATGCTTTGTACATTCCCAGTGCAATGATACTCAGAGTATTAAATGCGTTTGAACTGCATTATATATTGACTGAACGTCATCAGCATCAGAATAAAATAGAGTAAACTTAAGCATTAGTCTGATGTTTCATTGAAGTTTGATGGAGTGGCTGATTATATGAGATGATTGGTTTTAATAACTCATGTCAGTAAAAATGCTTGCAAATGATTCAGTTGGAAAAATCAAATATTTGTACATAGCCTTTTGTGGTGAATATGTTTTCTTTCTATTAAAACACTATCCTTCAAAACCATGCTTCATCAGTTGAACATTTAGCATCAGGACATCTAAATGATTGGGGACATAAGAAAACATGGATTCATTTGAACTTTAGAATTTGGTTGTAATTCTACATGGAACCAAGCTTCAGTGATAATTTAAAGACTTTGTTCAGTGATCTGGTTGGGCAACATTACTACCCCTTTCATGTTTGCCATATGCACAGTCTTAGACAGTCCTCTGACTAATATTGCCTTCTCTTTTCAGAAGTGCCTAGTTGCCATTCCATTTACATGAGGCAAGAAGGCTTCCTTGCTCACCCAAACAGAACAGAAGTTAAGTGTCTCTGTGTGTGTGCTTGTGCGTGCATGTGTGCATTTCTCCTTGTCTTAAATCAGGATTTTAGCATAGACCAAATATGCTAAAAATGTACAGAAATGGAAAAATATCATGATACTCTGTGGTGCTGTTCCTGACACACCAGCCCTTAGAGGGGCACCTGTTTGTTTTTCTAAATAGGCACATGTAAGCTCTGGAAGACATGCCAGTGTTTGGGTGGTTTTAATTCTTTAATTCATCTTTCTTCAGGCATGTTGTAATTAGCTCATGGCACAACTCTGTGTTACTAGAAATGGAAAGCCTTGCTCTAAGATAGAAAATAGCATGGCAAAGCACTACTGATTCTTTGGGTTTGGGTTGAACATGATATTGTGCATTGCTCAGTTACCCACTTGTATGGTAGGAATACCATGCTTTGTACAGCATGATAGACATTGTATACTTTGTACATTCTATAAAAGTAGAGAATGTACAAAAGGGATAAAAGCATTTTTGAGAAATTATATATCCACCAACAGTGATGTCGACAGGGCTGGCCAGTAAAATTCAGGTGTGAACACTTCTTTTTTCTTAACTCTTCATATGTTCACTTTCCCAAATTCCTGACTTGTTAGAATATCTGATTCAGGAATTGTGGCTTAACGTGGTTTCTAGATTTTTAGACAACTAAATTATCCATTACAGCTTGTTTATCCATTACAGCTTGTTTAGCAATTGACCAAAGTTTCTTTGTTTTTAAATAGCAAAGTAAACTAAGCTTGTAAGCCCAAACTTAGCAAAGGGAGAATGCATAATCCTAACATTTTGATTTGACACTTGTTTGTGCTAAATATTGTAAAATAAATAAAATAAACTAAATCTATGCCATCACCCCCAATGTATTTTTCTTTCACCATCAATCTCCTGCATTCCTTGGGTCTCCTTTCAAGGCAAGGCATTTTCATATGTATGAAGGAACAACTGATATGTGAAGCTTTTCAATGTTTTTATTTAGCCTGACAAAACCACTATTTTATATAGATGCCAGTGTAGTAATTTTTGGGATTCATATTTTATATAATCAGCAGATTATTCTATTATTAATACTCTAATCTGGAACACTCTAACCAGCCCAGCACATGAATGTGGCTTGATCCTTAGCTGTAGCATATATTTGAGATTTTCCCAGTCTGGAAAGCCAACTTGCAGAACTCCTAAACTATTCAGTTAAGAACTCTGAAAGTTGGAGTTCCAGCACATTGAAGGAGACCAGGTTGAGAAGGGCAATGTGTTTTAACAGTCTGTTTCAAGTGAGTAACATTTCTGTTTCTCCTAAAATTACAGGTTGTATGTATGAAAAGGGACCGAGACAGTTTTACGATGATACCTGTGTTGTTCCAGAGAAGTTTGATGGTATGTTACAAACATACATATATTCAACCATCTATCTAGGCTTATGGAAGAGGTAATTGTATGTGAAGAATTGAAAGGAGAATAAAGAGAAGGATTTTTTTTCTTACTTGATGAAACAGTTACGTAGAAACATTCCAATTCAAGAGAAATAAACATATAATTTGTTATGTGCCTGATTGACCTTTGCCTCTAGAAACCAAAATCTGTTTTGCAATCATATACTCCTCTGTTCTTGCAAGCAAATGGTTCTAAATTCAGAACCAGGGCAATATATTGTACTTCTAGCTGTTCCAAGGAGTCATAGGTGGATTTCAAATGCACTGATGATGACATACAACCTGTTATTAGAGATTTATTGAAAACTGATCTCATAATTAACGAAGCAGAACAGAAAGCAGCTACTCTGGACTTACTGATGACTAATGCAAACTCTTATCTTATTTTATATCCCTGAAGAAATGAGTTATGGAGCACAAGTACATCTGGTTTTCTGTGTGTATCAGGAAAAAAACTGTGCTTTGTTGAATGTTATAATCGCTTGTTTAATGAAGCTGATGCCCAAAGAGTAGAGTATGTAATGCCACAGATTGTCTTTGAAAGAAACGATTTTGAGAATAGCTAACTAATATCACATGTCTTATGAAGCAAATCATATCCTTCTCATTATTAGATATCAAATCCAGCATGTATTCTGAAGGGAAAACCGCTAATGAGATTAATGTTGCTTTTTGTAGCCAAAGGAATTTGAATGGGTATTTCATGTCACATTAATTGTGCTCCTCTTCAACATTGGGGAGGACTGCTTTGCAAAACAGACAGCTAATTGATTTATGTGCTGATTTGATGGCAGTATCCATACTGATATAGAGCTTTAAAAAAAGTAGAGTGTTAGTTATGGCTGCCAAAAAACAAGGACAAATGTAAAATATAGGAATTGTATTGGTTCTCCCCAGCTTTGAATCTTTTTTTAAAAAAGAGTGTACAGTAAACATTCTTCAGCTGTCAGCCTTGTGTTATCTGCTTGTCCATCACCACAACTTCATTCAGCTAATGAAATCTCATCCTGGTCTTGTTTTTCCCTTCAACCCCATGGTAGTCCAATCCCTCCCCAGGCTGCAACCCTACTGCAAGTGTCAGGAATTTTGGTCATTTCTGAGGAACAAAAATCACCCCCTCCCAAAACGAGAATCCAGCAAAAAGCAGTGCTCTCAAAAGGCCAATGCCTACAATGAGAAGACTGCACTGTTTTCCTGTAGTATGGTGTCAAAAAAAATCAAGGTGGCCATGACCACATGACTGAAGTCACACTCCTTTCATGTGTGTTTTTCATGTGACACATGTAAAAAATGTGATGTAGTTTGATTAAATTGTTATCTTGACTTCCCCCTCCCCCCAAAGATGTTCCTGGAAACATTGACTATCTTTTATATACTTAATAATCCAATTTTCAGCCCTAAATTTATTTAGAAGACTCTAGTTAATAACATTGACTCATTGATAGTTAAGACAGATAAGGATGTGAATGTTGTCTAAATTAGTTTTCTTTTCATCTACATGGTGATGAGGAATCCACTATCAACAGATTAAATCAAATGCAGATTTAATTGTAATATGATTTTTTAAAAATGTTCAGTCCTTTATATCAGGGAGATTATACAATTTAAAAAAATTTAATTATATATTTTTTTAAAATAATTGCATTAATCATTAGGTGAACAAAAATATAATTTCACTTATGAACTTTTTAGCTGACAATTTTATATTCTATTTAGTGAGATTATTTTTAAAATCATGTGTTTAGCATTTTATTGGTTCTGGTAGAAAAAAAAACCATTTTAGATTACCTTTGAGCTTTGGTTTGGTGTATAAGTGTACACTTTCACAACCGATATAGTGCTTTTCAGAAGAACTGTGAATGCATAGCTAAGCATTCATGTTAAACATGAATCCACCTTATAAGCAAGCCTAATACGCCAAAAAGGAACTGATCTATCCATAGGACTTGCATATCCATACATAAAACTCCTGTTAAATCTTATTCAAATATTGTTAAAATTTCTTGTAGTAGAATTTGCAGGCAATATGGGAAGACACATACACTTCTTTTCCAAATAAGGGATTGTATCAAGTATTGTACAAGTATTGTCCTTCAGATAGCAAAGTGGGTATGGAACAGGTTATGCTTTTCCAGAGCTGGATCTTGCATAACATTTGCTAGCTACCTTCATATGGATTGACTCTGGTATAAGTAAATGAGATTGCATTAAGAGAGTCTGTAATTAGCCATTTTCTGAAGAATTATAATGGGCTAAGTTGTCCCAAAGTCAATAATAGCAGCCTATACATCCTTTCCTTTCCTTTCTTCTCCTCTCCTCTTGCTACAACAGCATCTATTTTTTCTTTGTTGGTGTTAAATTTACACAAGGTTTGGTCCAATGAACTGAACCGAACCAACCCACATTTTCTTTTGCATAGGTGACATTAAACAGGAGCCAGGAATGTACCGTGAAGGCCCCACATACCAGCGGCGTGGTTCCCTTCAGCTGTGGCAGTTTTTGGTAGCCCTTCTTGATGATCCATCAAACTCTCACTTCATTGCTTGGACTGGCCGAGGCATGGAGTTCAAGCTGATTGAACCAGAAGAGGTGAGCGGCGCGCTCCTGTATTGCATCTCTGCACTTTAACAACATTGTTACAATTCTTCGTTCTTTTTCTTTCTATATTTTCTTATAAAACTCAAAGTAGTGTTGAGAGGTGCTTATCCATAGTGCACCTATGAGATGCTTAAACATAACATTTAAGATTCTGGTCATTGCTGTTATACAGGTGTGGCTCCATTATAACGAAAGCTTGTAAGAATTGAGTGCATTGGACATGCAGTCCATCTAATCTGCATTATGCCACCCATTCTCAGCCCAACACCACACAGGATTGTTTATTGTGAAGAAAATAGGAGAGAGCGCTATGTACATCACAATGAGTTCCTGGAAGAAAAGTGCAATATAAATCCAATAAATAATCTTTCCCTTTACCAACAAGGGTGACAAATGCATCAGGATCAGATGTCTCTATTATACACATTTATACCCATAACCATTCAGCTTGCCTAAAATTCCATTCACACAGTTTCAAGCATGTTATAATCTTGAGATTCATTTTCCACTATGCCAAAGAATCTAATTCTACCACAGATCTTAATATCTGAATTGAGCCTATGTATCTTCTCTTTTTTTAACCCTTCTCTTTTTTTAACCCCCACCTGACCCCCCAACCCTTTTCTGTCTGTATGTCTATTTTCACTTGATCTGTGATTCTCCACACATTTCAGTGATCACACACACACCCTTTCATATGAAAAGAAGCCATGTTTGGATTTTCAGGTTCTCTTGTATACTGAAAGCATAAAATCCCCAAATTATCTACACACACACACACCAAATGTACACATATACTATTTTGCTTGAATTCCACTTCTACCTCTCCCTTCTTTTTACCCAAACCCTTATTTATATGATGAGGAGACCTGACATCATGTCTGTAGTAACTTCAAAACTGCTGTACAAAAAGAACCTTTCTGTAGAGATCTCGGCACCTGTGAAATCAGCTCAGAGGATTTTGGTTGCCCAGTTCCTTGGGAAATACAGTTTCTTTGATTATCTTCAAATTTGTTGCAATGGTATTTTTTAGAATAGCAGAAATATTTTTGGCCATTCCCAGAATTTGACATTTTGAGAGAGGAGTAGAAGAATTGTTAGAAAGGGCTAGGGTTGCTGCTTGAACTTCAGAGGAGAATCATATTGTGTTTGGAACAAGCTTAAGAATTGTGATCCTGAAAAGTATGGTTGAGGTTTGCTTAAGTTCAGAAAAATGAGGAAAAGATACTGGGTGGAAACCAAAATAGATAAATGAAGACTGACCATCTTCTGTGGCCCTGGAATGCCTACTGCTAGGCAAAGGAAGAATATGGAGGAATGGTATGATACAATTAGGAAGCGTATATGGCTGCCTGGATTGGCCCTCTGAATAGGACATCCCTAGGAACATTCTGATGTTGATCCAGTTGCACCCTAAAATAGTGTCCATATTTGAACTTGTAGCATACACAGTACATTAGAAAAGGTTTCATTTATTTTTTAAATATTTAGGTAGCATTTTTCTTTGAAAAATATTGCTAACATTTTTCTTTCATTCTTGTTTTCATCAGTTTATTTTTCTTTTCAGTTATGTATTTTTTTACATTATGCCTTTACATTTTGAAAAACTAAACACGTTTGTTTGTTTGTTTGTTTGAACAATTTATATGGCCACCTATCTCACAAACCAAAAAAAAAGTGTTTTTGGGAGGCCACTAGGATTCAAAACAACTGTTTAACAAATCAACTGAATACCCAAAGTCACAAATACACACCCAACTCAGAAAAGACAACATTAATTAGCAGAGCTCACCTAACCATCCAGTCCAAATGCCTGGGGGAACAGCAAGGCCTTTAATGCCTTACAGGGTTAGAGCCATCTAGGTCTCTGGAGGTGTGCTGTTCCATAAGGCGGGCACTGCCACAGAGAAGGCACAACTCTAGAGTTCAACATGATGACATTGTTTAATGGAAGGAACCTGCAGCATGCCCTCTTTGCTAGATCTGGTGGGGCAAGGAGAGATGATGGGAGACAGGCAGTTTCACAAATAGCCTGGCGCTATGCCATATAGGGCTTTATTGATTACACCCTTTGAATTGCACCTGAAAGCCCATTGGGAGCAAGTACAACTCACAGAGCACTGGTGTTCTATGGACACAACCAGAAATGCCCCAAACTGCATAGACTACTGCATTCTGGACCAGCTACAGCTTCTGTACCTCCCCATGCTGAGTTAAAGATGGAAATTCTCTGGATCAGGGGCCTTAAAACCCACAGCCACTCAGTCTTGCCAGGGTTGAGCTGAAACCTGCTCTTTGCCATCCAAACTCCCAGTCTCTAGGCACTGGGAAAAAACCTTGACAGTATCACTGAGTTGGCCCAGGGCAGGGATGCACCACTGAGTATCATTCCCCCCCCCCCCCCCCATGATGATACTATACCCCATGTCAACAGATGACATCACCCAGCAGTTTCATGTAAATTAGTGTTTCTCAACCTCAGCAACATGCTGGCTGGGGAATTCTGGCAGTTGAAGTCCACACATCTTAAAGTTGCTGAGGTTGAGAAACACTAATGTAGATGTTATGGAGAGACTGTAGCTCATAGACACTCTACAAAGCGGAGGCCTCTCCCCCCCCCCCCCATCACCAACTAGAACTGGCCCTGGAGAAAGGAAGAGAAGCACCACAAAGCCTGCCTTCCAATCCTCGAAGCCAGCCCAAAATGAGTGATGGTATCAAAGACCACTGAGACATCAAGGGGTACTAGGATGGATGTACTGTGCCATCACAAGCCCACCAAAGGTCATTGAACAGTGCAATCAGTGCCATCTCAGTACTATGGCCAGGCCTAAATCCTGATGGGAAGGGGTCAGATAGAGCCAGCTTTTATAAAATGAAGCATTTTATATAACCAGTTTTATAAAATTTAACAGATTGGTGCTAATCTTTCTTGGTGACAGGTGGCACGTCGCTGGGGGATTCAAAAAAACAGACCAGCCATGAACTATGATAAACTTAGCCGTTCACTTCGCTATTACTATGAGAAGGGAATCATGCAAAAGGTGAGTAATTCAATACTGTTTTATATTTCAGTGGAATATTGCATACTAATTTTTAAACTGGTGTATAAATTCAAGTGTTTCCAAAGTGCATTATCCTAAATGGCTTTTGACCAATATAAGGAAGTGCATTAAGTATCTAGGTTTTGATTTCCTTATGAAACCCTTCTCCCCAGCCTATTACTTCAAGATCCAGGGGTTCATGCATAGAGTTTGAACTTTGAACCTTGATGGAAATTGAAAAGTTGTATTGGGGTTTGAGTCCATTTTGTAAATCCTTTCACACCATTAACAGATTGACCTGCCTTTGTTCATTGTTTCTCCTTTCCTCCCACAAGCTCATGTCAGGAAAAATACAACCCTTTTACAAACCATGTTTTTAACTTCTTTCTAAACCTTTGAAGGAGCAAAAGTGAGGCAGTCTACAGTATTTTCTTTAAAAGTTTCAGAAACTAGATAGAAAACTATCCTTGATTATGAGGAACTTTATATATGTATGTGTGTGTATATAGAGATACATACATACATACGTAATGATGAGTTGGTTCAGGTTTTTTTCTGTCTTCATTTTGGCACTGCAGCTAACTGAAGGTGTACTGTATGTGTCATTCTCATCGCATTGTCATTTTATTTTAAACCGCCCAGAGTCATTCAGTGAGATGGGTGGTAACAAATTCGATATATAAACAAATGAATGAATGAATGAATGAATGAATGAATGAATGAATGAATGAATAATCAATCCCTGAGGTTAACACCACTGAGAAAGAGATCAGGAGACTTTGAGCTTCAATATGTTGCCAGATGATGATGGCCAGAATCATCCATTAGCTATGCCATCTATAACCCTAGAAGATGTAGTTCTCTAATATCTGAAGAGCCGTAGGTCCCTGCCTTGAGATGAAGAGATACAGTGATTGGCATAAGGTTATTTGAGTTCAGTAGCTAGTTGGGGATTTCAGTTTTGTTTTCCCACTTTAAGCCAATATTCAGACCAACAATCAGAATAACTCTAGAAGAATGTTCAGTGTTCGGTATATCTATTCTTTTTCTTAATTCAAACATAAATGTGCTGTCTTAAAGCCAACCCTACTCACAGCTGTTGGAAATAATCTTTATAAAGACTAATAAAAAACCATGAGCAGGCATTTGCTCAGGAGGGGAAATAAATCCAAAATCTTATGAAAGTAGTATTTCATTAGTCCAGCAGTAAATTTGTGAATTAACAGGGCAGCTTTTGAGCTTCCAAGAATGCTTTATCAGATAAGATTATTAAAAATACTCCCTCCGAGACTGAAGGGGGGGGGGCGGATAGGAAAAGATGTGGTTCATACACCATGTTAGCATCAGATTGACACCTTTGAGTGTTGAAGTTGTGTGAAGGCACACTAAACAGACCTCATAATGAAAAAAAAAAAGCATGTTACTTTCCTCCAAGAACTCTCCCAAAAATTACTGGGATGAAAAAGCAGACTGTCATTGAATGAAACTCAAACTGCCTGTTACAGTTACTTAGGGAAAAGTAGCCATAATAAAACCCATGCAGGGTAATGAGAGTTCTGCCACTTTGCTGAAGGCAGGCACAAAAAAACAGGTGGGGATCGAAAGCCATCAGTTTTTTTTTATATTTGTCTCAAATGACCACTGCCTCTCCTTTCTGAACTCTTCTGAAAATAACATCTCGACGGAGTCCATTATCAACCTGTTTTCTTAAAGATGGATGTTTTTCTGATCAGGTTTAGTCACTCTTCACATCAGAATAGCCTGATGGTATATAAATAGTCAAAGCTTCCAGTGCACTTTTCATCCATCATAAAATAGAAACACAGAAAACTCAACCCCATTTGGTCTAAATAGCCATGAACAACTAAGACAACATCAGCTGATGTGATGCAGTCTAACCTCATTTGCTTCAAGGAAGATTTGGCTCAAGAAAAGGATTGGAACTTTTAAAAAATCTATACTGGAAATTAATTAGACTGTCCTTGGCCTGTCTAATGTTATGGACACTTGCCTGACATTGTGGGTTTGGATGTGGAGTGACCCAGCTCCTCCCTTGCCCCTCTTCTTTTCCTGCATTGTGACAGTAGAAGCTTGTTGAGACATAGGTTTGGATTGTTCAATCTATTTTTCAAATTAAAACAGTAATGCAATTTTGAAAGAATCCCCTATGTTGGGATTCTTTTTAAATTTGTTCCATGAAACCCTAGGGTTTTGCAAGAAGTTGATAGGATTCCATGACAGACTAAGAGCAAAAAAAAAAAGAAAGTTCCCTCAGACTCAGACAGTTTTTTATCACTAGAGCTTTGCATCTTCATCAAGGATTCCAGGATTTTTTTTTTTTTTTAAAGAAGGTTCCACAGGCTGAAAAAGTTTGAAAATCCCTATTCTATGTGATCACTTCTTTAAAACATCTTCCATGCCATTCATTGTCATCTAACTACTCTAATTTTTGCACTGTTTTCCTTGTGCATCCTATTTTCCATGTTCCGGATGCACAAAAGATCCCTTTGGTGCCTGTGTATGGCTGCGAAAGAAAACTGCACTTCTGCCTCTTACAGCCTTTCTCTCTTTTCCACCCTTCTCCTTCTTTAACATTGCTCCTAAGGTTGCTGGAGAGAGATACGTGTACAAGTTTGTTTGTGACCCTGAAGCCCTCTTCTCCATGGCCTTTCCGGATAACCAGCGTCCCCTGCTGAAAACTGACGTGGAACGTCATATCAATGAAGAGGACACTGTCCCTCTGTCCCACTTTGATGAGAGCATGGTCTACATGCAAGAAGGAGGCTGCTGTAATACCCACCCTTATAATGAAGGCTATGTATATTAACTGGAGTGACAGTAAAGAAGCCCCTTCCTCATCCCAAGCTTCTCCTCTTTCATGAGACCAAGAGAAAAGCTGAACTCCCTTCAGTTGGTTTTATAAGAAAAAGAATAATAATAATAATAAATGTAAAAAGAATAAAATAGTACTATAAAGGGGCTTCTCCTGTTGTATTACTCCTGTAGTCTGACATGGACAGTGCACTTTATTTGAAAGGGGAAGTTTAGAATCTAATAGTTTATTCTTTGGGACAAAAAGACAAGGGTGGAAAATACAGGTTTTAAGTACAACAAAGCTGTATCATGTCTGTTTTTTGTTTCTTACTTGGTTAAAAATAATGTACATGTTCTCTAAGTATCCATAGTACAGTTAATTCTAGATGTAATCAATAACCATTTGTATACTACTTGGGGAATTATCTGTCCTGACACTCTCCCTTCTCTCCCGTTTTCACTACAGTCTAGCCATTTTTTTCCTCTTTTTTATTTTGAGACAGACATTATTTACCTCTTACAAAGACTGAACTTGCGCATTCAGAATGTGTGCTCTACCACTGAGCTAGGGACCAATAATAGATGCTGGATTTGAGAAGAACTAGGACCAGATTTTTGATTTTGTTCCTTAAAAGATAGGATTTATTTTTATTTTACCCCTTAAAAACATTCTTACGTGTCTTACACGCTGCCTTGATTCTGTTCATGAGTCATTAAGGAAGGCATTCACTGTGGGCCGAAGAGCACAGATCCTGGTTTGTGAGTGTAAATTGCAGGTTTATAGCTTAGCTTCTGGTATCTGGTGCCATCTTGTTATGCAAGTACAACCCATTTAATCATTTTCAACCTTTCAGTGTCCACCCGAGTGTAGTAATTACTTGTACTGAACCATTCTGCATATTCTTTTAACTTTAAGTACAGGACTGTGATCACAAAGGGTAAGACAGAATGCTGTCCTTCCACTTTCTTTGATCCATAAATAAGTTATTTAATCAATATGAATTAACTGTACTAGTTCTCATATCTCATTATGCTGTTTCAAACCACAGCAGTTTCTCCTTGAGCAAAATATCCAATACACAAATAGGTACTTTAGTAATTTTTAGACACGGTACCCATTAATATGCATTTAAGCCTTTATACTGCTGTGTTATGTTGATAAGCATATATACATACTAGCTAATGCTATTGCTTCTGCTGCTGTCTTTATTCCTGTAATACTCTCTTTGCTGAATTTACTATGCTCATTTATAAGCATTGCTGTAACTACAGGTAGCATTCAGGACAAAATAGATGACTTGAACCTTTTACTGCTTAGAAAAATAGCTTATGCCATAGCTGTGCTGTAAGCAGCTTTTATGCGCATTGAGACATGGATAGGAGGCTCCAGCTTGCTAAAGAGGAGCTCTGCTGAAACTTTTATAACGCTCCATGGAGCAGAGACTTATCCATAATATCAAAAATACAGTTTTTTGTTTTTGTTTTTGTTTTTTTGGGCTGTATAACGTTGTAGTGCTGGCACTGATGCTTATCAATTTTGTTAGGGACACTAATTGTAAATGTGATCAGGTATGTTTGGCAAACCCTTTAAAAGTTGCTTTTAATTTGGGGGAAAGGCAATGTTGAAAGGAAGACAAAGACCTTATTCTACAGATAAATGTAAAAGAATAATTTAATATTTAAGAAGTCCTTTCCTTCTATGTTAACTTTTTGCATTAGAACGGGAAATAGGAAGCATATTTGAACAGAGGAGTTTGAAGAGTGGCTTTTCAAACCAGTTCTCTTCCCAACATCCCATCCCAGTACTCACACACATGCTTTGCCCAGAAGCCATCAACTCTGAAAGAGAGAAAGGGGGGATAGGAGTCCATAATCATTAGCTACAAAAATAATGTTTCATTGTAAATGACATGATATCAGAGATGCCTGGATGTGGTGATTTACTTTGCACTCAGTGTTGGTCAGGAACCCTGTAAAGCTATCAATGATTTATAATGCAATTCATTTCAAAATGAGTATTAACCACTATAAACCACAGTTCTAACAAAGCACATTGGGTATGCATCTATTTCACCCTAAAAGCATTAAGAGAGTTTCATGTGTGCATGTTAAAAACTCCATGGCATGTTAACCTTACAGAAATCTCTGCAAAACGCCCTTTGCCTTATCCCTGCTGCTGCCCAATGGCATCATTTCTCTAGCTGGCTAAAGAATTTGTTTTTTGAAAACCACCATTAGGGTAGAATCAATGGTTTTAACCATTATGCCTTGACCTCCCCTAGACTTCCTGCTTCACCTGACCTAAAAATGGGAGGTTAGCATGTTGCAGAGTGCCAGCTTCCAGCATAATCTTTGTCTTCAATCGCAGTTCTGCTTTTATTAAAAAATAAAATAAATTAAAAAAAAAAACAGGTGGGGAATGTCCACTTGCCCAGGAAAAATATACATAGCTAAATGAGGTGGTAGAAGTCCTGGGAGTCTAAACCTATTTGCCTTCTGGTAGATCAGTGATTTCTGTCTGGCTGCATCCACCATGGCAGCCATTTTGTGAATAGGCATGCTTTCCCATGACAGTCCTTTTCTGAATGAGGCACTTAAAATTCCAAATGTGTCCCCTAGTCTAACAACATGGGTGTCTTTGGCTGGGGTCAAAATCTGTAAAGTGGCAGGCGCAGCATCAGAACTGAAGCCCCACCTCTTATGTATGTGTGTGCAACATTGGTACAGGTACAAAAGGGTGGGGCTTTGATCGTGATGCCACACCAGCCATCTTACCGATTTCGACCCCCTCAGTGTCTAAAA